TTTACTTAATATGTATTATAGTTTATTTCATCCAAAATTTGTAAACCTTAAATTGAATTAAAGGCAAAGTCATTTTAACTATATTGAACTCATTACAACATTTGGTGCCTCCTGTGAGGACTTCAGGACGGTTAGCTACAGTAACTGGAAGCAAAACGTGCTTTGGCTCATAGAAAGTGTGGTGAGCACTGACTATCATAACCTCATTCCGTGGAAGAACTTGTGTCCAAGAGTAGTTTGCTGTATTGCGGTGAGTACATTTGATATTGGGTGTTTGAAGGTTAAGCTTAAAGTACTTTACGGCCACGCCATGGAATTCATTAACGAACAATCTTCCTTGCTGGCTACGGTTAAGAAAACTCTTCGCAACTACAAAAAGGACTCTACTACTCGAAGAACCGAGGCATATTTTAAGACACGGTTGGAAATGTTGGCATCACTCCGAGCGGAGTTCCGAGAAAATCATCGCCAAATCATGCGTTTGGATGCTAACGAGGATATTAAGGAGAAATATCTCGATATCGATTTGAACGACCAGTTTGAAGAACAGTACTTAGAACCAGTGTCCACTGTGCGAGCAGCGTTTGAAAGTGCCTACCTCGTAGTAACTGTAGCTGCTGAAAGCAATACTCTTTCGTCAAATATTAATGTGCCGGTTGCGGTTTCCAATCCCAGTTACGAAGTGCCGTTGCCTGAAGTCAAACTACCTATGTTTGATGGTAATTATGTTGAGTGGCCTACCTTCAAAGAAATGTTTATTGCTCGAGTTCACGACAGTAATCGGCTTAATGATAGTCAACGTTTGCATTACCTTAAAGGAGCTCTATCGGGTGCCCCAGCAAAGGATATCGAACATCTCAGCCCATTAGGGGAAAATTATGCAGATGCCTGGAAAATGCTCTGCGACTTATATGATAACAAGCGTATACTATTCTCGCATTTCATGGATGTTTTTGAACGGCAGCCTGATGTTCTTCCTAATGATGCCGCATCTTTGAGACAATTCACACAAACTTGTCGTTCTTGTGTAAAGTCTATACAGAAACTCGGCGTTGACCTAGAATCACAAAATCAGGTTCTCGTGTACTACATGTTGCTTCATTTCATCAAGAGTGGGACCGAGCGATGAAGGGGCAAAGAACGATTCCTAATTTTGAAAGGTTGTGTTCAGTGCTAGATGAGCAATATCAAATGATGATAACATCCACAAGCATGAAAATACGTCCGTGCACTAATCAGTCTATAATTCCGGATTCGAAACGAAAAGGTAGCGTTTCAGTATACCCTTGTAAGAAGGATGTGAATTCATTGACAGTAACAAAAAAAGCAATAACCTGTCCAGTATGCGTTAAAGGTGAGCACTCAGTGCGAGATTGTACAGTATTTCTCGCTATGATGGTTGATGAAAAAAGAACTGTAGCACAAAGGTTTAAACTCGTCGAAATGTAGTAGTCGTCGAACTTGTTCAACGTGTGGAGGAAAGCATAACACATTAATTCACACCGAGCAAAAAAGGGAGTCAGCTCCGGCTACAGCTATGCATTTATCTGTTTCAATTAAATTTTCTTTAGCAAGCCCTATTACTGCTTCTAGTGCGGAAGAGGTAGATGGAAATCGCCTCAAGAGTTGCGAAGTTTTACTGCCAACTGCGGTTATCACGGTGGACGACGTGCAAGGACAATCGCTGAACTTTAGGGCATTTTTGGATCAAGGATCGCAAGCCTCATTTATCACAGAACGCGCCATTCAACAATTACGTTTACCTCGGCAGCGAGCTTGGGTTCACATACAGGGTCTAGCAGGTACCAAGGTGGCCGAGGGACGGTCATGTGTGGTTCTTGAAGTTGGCTCCCGCTTTGACGCACGATCAAGATTAAATGTTATAGCCTATGTATTGTCAAAGGTAAGTCGGAACTTACCCGATAAAACGTTGCCAGTTACAAATTGGCCTCACTTAATGGATATCGAACTAGCGGATCCAGAGTACAACAAATCTCATCGAGTAGATATCTTATTGGGAAGCGACGTCTATGATGACAGCATATTGGGTGATTTGCGGCGAGCATATGTAGGTGCGCCAATTGCACAGAAAACTATTTTTGGTTATATATTATCGGGAAAACTGTCTAAGGCGTCACCGAAAACGACTAATATTTCATCTTTACAAACACACATAGACATCGATGAGTTGTTATCTAAATTTTGGGAACTGGAGGAAGTTGCGAGCGAGCAAACTTTATCGGAAAATGATCATTGGTGTGAGGAATTTTATCGCGACACACATAAGCGTTTAGAAAGTGGAAAATACCTTGTGCGCTTACCTTTGCTAACACATCTTGATCCGTCATGTGTCATCGGATCTTCGAAGAATATGGCGATGAAAAGGTTCTTAAATCTTGAACGTCGACTAAATCTGGACCTTCAACTAAAGCAAACTTATCGCGAAACAATTGAAGAATATCTTCGCCTAGGGCAAATGGAGCCAGTTACGGCAACAGATTCTCAGCATCAAGACGAAGCGGAGGGCAGCTTCAGGTTTTGGACTTGTTGTTATTTACCGCACCATCCGGTTGTTAAGAAAGAATCATCTACTACAAGGGTGCGAATTGTTTTTGACGCTTCGAGCTGCACCAGCAATGGAAAATCACTAAATGACATTCTGGCTGTAGGGCCACCTCTACAAACGGATTTGCTAGCTGTCTTGATAAAATGGCGTTTCTTGCAATTCGTTTTTACAACGGACATCGAAAAGATGTATCGCTGTATAAATGTTCAAAATGAGGACGCGCAATACCAGAGGATTCTTTGGCGAAATGAACCAACGGAAGAGATAAGAGAGTACTTTTGCAATACAGTTATGTTTGGCACTGCATCGGCTCCATTTACCGCAATACGCACGATGAAGCAGCTGGCTAGTGACGAAGGGGATCGCTACCCTTTAGCTGTAGATGTGATCAATCGACAGATGTATGTAGACGACATTTTGTCTGGGTGGAATTCTCTTGAAGAAGCGATGAAGGTTCAGGAACGGGTATCATGCGAAGTGGCACATTCGAGCTTCGTAAGTGGGCAGCGAATCATCCAAGCTTGTTGAAGGGGATCCCAGTTGAATATTGCGCATTTAATAGTTTACGTCAAATGACCGACAACTCTTCGATTAAGACACTGGGAATATATTGGGATTCAGGTAACGACACCTTTAATTTTAAGCTAAATTTTGAAATCTTAAGCACGGTTCCGACTAAGCGTATTGTTCTTTCTACAACTGCTCGCCTTTTCGACCCACTTGGGTGGCTTAATCCCATAATTATACAAGGAAAGATAATTATGCAACAATTGTGGGCACTTAAGCTAAACTGAGATACTCCCATTCCACAAAATTAGCAAAATTCTTGGAATCAATTTGTTACGGAGTTGCCTTCGCTATCTAAGATACAACTGCCTCGATGGTTAAAGACAACCAACAGGATGGTTTTTCATGAGCTTCATATATTCTGCGATGCTTCACTCAGTGCATACTCAGCAGCAGCTTACCTGAGAGTTAAAACAGAAGAGGATCAGTGGCATACCGCTCTGATTATAGCAAAATGCAAAGTGGCACCTATTAAAGTTAAATTAACTATACCACGCCTAGAACTGTGCGGAGCGGTGCTCGGGGCAAAATTTTTTAAATTTTTGAAGCAAAATTTGAGCTTATGCTTGGGCGAGTCACAACTTTTCTTCTGGGCAGACTCCATGATCGTTTTATCGTGGATCAAGGGTGACACTAATCGTTGGAAGACTTTTGTTTCCAATCGGATAACCAAAATTTTGGAGGTTTCGATGGCTTCACAGTGGCGGCACATAGCTTCAGAAGACAACCCAGCGGACTGTTCTAGTCGGGGTCTAAGTTCCTCAAAACTCGCAAGGTGCCAACTCTGGTGGTCAGGCCCGCCGTGGCTCAACCTTCCTACTTCGATGTGGCCATGCCCAGCAGGTCGTACAATGCCGAACACCGAGTCTGTTGAGGTTGAGAGGAAACGCGTGACCACTAACTTGTGTAACATTACAATTGAAGGAAGACACTTGTCTGCCATCTTTGAGCGTTTTTCATCCCTTTCAACTCTGGTGCGTTCATTTGCATACTGTCAACGTTTCATTTTTAACTGCTAAAGTCCAATAGAAGAACGCCGTTTTGATAGCTTGCGAGTTGAGGAGCATTATCAGCATCGTTCGAGCAGTGCAGCAAGAAGTTTTTACGCGCGATTGGACTTCACTTTCACAAGGGAAGTCTCTACCTGAAAAAATCACCTTGGCGTCACTTAATCCCTTTTTTTGCGAGAAAGATAAGGTAATACGACTGGGAGGGCGTCTCCGGGACTCACTTTTACCAATGGATGAAAAGCATCCGTATATTTTGCCTCAAAAGCATCACATTTCTGATTTAATTATTCGTTCGTCCCATTTACGAACGCTGCATGGTGGCGTCGCAATTACGCTAAACTATATTCGTAAGCGATTTTGGATACTAAATGGTCGCAATGCAGTTCAATTTACTATTCATCGTTGTGTCGTTTGTTATCGTCACAAACCACAAGTTATAGAGCAGCTTATGGGAAACTTACCAGCGCAACGCATTCGTCCGGCTAGACCATTTTCCTCAACGGGCGTTGATTATGCAGGGCCTATCAACGTTTTACCATCTAAAGGTCGAGGGCGCGTTTCCGTAAAAGGGTACATAGCGTTATTTATTTGCCTTGTAACTAAGGCTGTACACCTGGAGCCAGTGGGTGATTTGACAGCGGCATCATTTATCGGTGCTTTAAAACGCTTCGTTGGCAGGAGAGGTCTATGCCGCGATATATATAGTGATTGCGGTACCAATTTTGTTGGTGCAAATCAAAGGATGCAAGCAGATGACCAAGCATACCACAGTTACATTAACAAAGAAGTTGCTCCGTTTCTCAGTGGGCAAAACATCCAATGGCACTTTATACCACCGTCGTCCCCCCACTTTGGAGGGTTGTGGGAGGCGGGGGTTAAATAAATGAAGCATCATCTCAAGCGCTCTCTCGGTGAAAGAAGGTTAACGTTCGAGGAACTTAGTACGGTTTTGGCACAGATTGAAGCGTGCCTTAATTCTAGACCATTGTGTCCGCTGACCAACGACCCGGATGACTTGATGGTCTTAACTCCAGGGCATTTCTTAACAGGCGACGCCCTACTGGCCCCACCAACCCCAGAAATTGATAAGTTCAGTCTTACTGATAGATGGAAAAATTGTCAATTTTTAGTGCAGCAG